ACGTTTTGACATAAGTAAAGCATCACTCACATCATGCACACTGGCATGGGGATCTGTAAGTAGAGTTTGAACAATTTCTATATGTTGTTTGAAAATAAATTGATCTTTGCTCAATGCTGTCTTAAGATTGATCACCATCGCTAAAGTTTCGTCCTCGGTAGCTAGGTCAGCGATACGCTCATGAATGCGTGTATAAACTTCATGACCTTTCATAGAAAAAATGTTTTATCTCTTCGAGGTATTTGAAGCGGTCTAATACTTTTGAAGGTTGTAAATCTAATATTAGTGCAGGCAAGCCAATGTCCCATACTTCAATAGGCGTATACAGAAACTTGGCACCCACTCCTCGATAGGTGAAATAATGTACATAATCACGATGTAATGAATGCTGACACTGAATCACTTCACCACAGCTTGGAGATAGTCCGGGCGAACTGTTGGTAATAACTGGTTGTTTCTTGTAGGCATGACCATGGAAACGAAGCTCCAAATACTTGGCGAAGGAAAGGCATTTAGTGTTTTCAGAGAGTGGTACACTTGGCGTCATATCATTACAAATTGTACACCAGGCCGTAAAGTAAATGCGATTCGGATCAGTTTTTTGTGTTGTCCTCGCTAAGGAAGACCTGCACACATCCCATGGAATGAACATAACTATAAGCATGCAGTGAAATATGATTAAACCAAAATCCATAACCTTTTAATGAAGCTTCAGTGAAACTTACCGCCGTACATGACCCAACATTGGCAAATTGCAAAGCCTGCACATCGAATTCAAACGACAGCAATACCGCTGAAGGAATTGTCCAAGCATAATGTCGTGTTGGCCATAGAATTTCATATCCAACAGTGTTGGTGGTGCACAAAAGGAAGATGCTGATTTCGGGTTGAAATAAAAGCTGCAGAATAACACCGGCAGGCGTTGATGGTTTTCCAAATCCAGGGCGTCCTTATGCAAATGTTCCTCAACCACCGTTTGTGGAGCTTGATTGAGCTTTTTAAACACTTATTATTTAAATAAAAAACTGATATTAAATCATTAACTTAAAATTATAAGCGCTTATTACTTTTCAGTTTTTTAGGATAGCGACCGCCGTATGCACGAAATTCTGCTAGTAGTGTTTGTATGTCGCGATTATCCCAAGCTGTAGTAATTTTAAGTTTCAAAAATGGATGTGGCGCTCCTAGCTGAGTATCATTAAAGGCATTTTTAAGCTGTTCCAAATTTTCATGGCGATCTAAATGCAGGCTACTATTTATATTCGACCACAATTTGGAATAATATAGCTCAGTTGGAAATAGCCGTCGCAATGAACACTTACGTCCCTGTTCGGTTTCTAAATATGGTAACGGAAAACTGAGAAAAGGACTGACAGAAAGTAGAGTAGAGCTAAGTGCATTGCGAAAGCGGTTGTCGTAACGTGTCTCAACTGCCAATTCAACTGGTCGGTCACCTGACATTGTATTTGCAATATCTGCGGAGCGCAGTGGATCAGTAAAGTCAGCGACATTCTCTGATACAGAAATAATTTCTTTGCGTGTTGGCAGTACTTTTTCCTCCGCTTTTCGTTCTAATAATGCTTTAGTTCTTTCAGTTGTCGACCGTATTACTAGCTCATCATCAAATGTCAAATCATCAGGACTGGCCTCTTTGGAATTGAAGATAGGTGGCTTCGGAGTGAGAGGATCTGCAAACGCATCCAAGAGGAATGACATTTCCAAACGCCAATTATATCTGAATTTATAAGAATAAAATTATAACTAAGGTTAAATTGGAAACCTTCGAAAACTCACCGGGCATAAACCAAAAACGATGCGACTTTCTTCACCTTGGCAAGTTCTTTATTTGTCCCTCCTCGTAGTAGGCAAGTGAAACCACGGGGATTGTTAAGTTTTTCGAAAAACATTAGTGTCTTATTACCACCACTACCATCACTAAAACTTCGTATGTAGAAAGCGTCACAAATTCCAAGCTGTGGCCGAGCAATATTTGACTCTATTGAAGTAACGATATCACATTGAAGTATACGCGATATGCGTTCCATCACTGAAAGTTTTAAATCCAATACCAATGTAATGCCTTGAGAACGAAGCATGTCTTGCGCCACGCCCGCAACATTTTTATGAACCAAAACCACATCTGGTTTGAAGCTCATGATGCGATCGCAGACTCGCCGTAAATACTCCTTTTCTTGTAATAACACAGTGGATATACTTACAAACTTTCCTTCTATTCTTTCATAGACAATCGGGCACTGCAGGAGAAGAATGCGCGGATGCTCAACGCGCGTGGCCATACCTTTGTGTGCGATATTCTTTGAAAAAACAACTCCACCTACAATCGTACACTCTTGTCGTTTACCACCCGGTATCTTTTTGATATTCACATAATTGCGTATGTCCATTAAGTCATTAGTACAATATTCTGGTTTGAAATGATTAGCTGCACGGCAGCATAAGGACATTAACACTTTGAACCAACGTAGATCTAGGTGAAACGTTCGTAGCATCTGAGTCAGTAGCTGTTCTTCATAATCACAATAGGACTCCAGCAGCTTAGTTGTAGTGGTTGTGGAACGCATTGAATATTCTAATTCCATATCTTGGACGGAATGAGGGCTTAAGGAAATATCCACAGACTTGGGTGGTTGCAGTTCACCGCTGTTATCAAGCCGCGGACAGATGGCTTCATGCATCGACGTTGGATCCTGAAATTGTTTGGTAATAATGCCTTGTCTGTAAACCAAAGCGAGAAAGAAGCCTTAAATAAAAAATTTACAATTTAGCAATTCTATTATTACTTATTCAGTTCAATGAACTTGTAATGAAGATTTTCGTCGAAATCGATTTGATCAGAATCGGGTACTATAGGTTGCAGAAAGCCAGCAGCTAGCAATGCGTTTAAAATTGCAGCCGCTTGAACCTTACTCGAAGACTTGTTATGCGTAATCAAGTATTCAATGAGATTGGCCCCACAGCTCTGTGTGGGAAGTTGACGTCGCATATCCTCGTGCAGTGTTATTAGTGAATTTGACTGCTGCAGGATGTTCTTTCGATCATCAACTGACAAGCTGTTGACCACATGTGTAGCAAACCGCTCTTCTTGATAGCCAACAGATACTTTACGAGTCAAGTTTGTAGTTACGGGCAATGCTTCTGTTTTAAAACTTTCGTTTCTCTCCTCCAGTTTTTGTGTAAGATCCTGTTGCAACGCCTGCAGATCGGCGTGTAAGTCAACCGCTATGTTTGGGGACTTTAAGTAACTAAGAACAATTTTGGAGCAGTAGTTACAAACTTTCAATTCACCTGCAAGAAGTGATTTAAATTAGTTTTTTACCCTGCGATCTGAACTTCACCAACGTACCTGCGCACATAATTATTTTTCCAGGCACAACTTGGTTGCAACATTTAGAACAGAAGATCTGACCACAAAGGCGGCAGTGATGCTTGCGTCGAAAGGTGGAGAACTTATGCGCACAATCGTAACATTCTTTGGCCTTAGAGTCGGGCATCCAAAATCGATGTAGCTCAGTATCTTTATAATTCCGTAAGTCCTGCCATTAAATAGAAATAATTATGACCGCTTTTTATTTTATAGAATACCTACGCTATTTTTAGTGGCCATCAAACTGCTGATGCGTTTTAAAACATTGACCATTGTACGCCCTTCACTTGGTAGGTCTAAAATATGTTCGCCAACCTCACTTTTTGATTCCTCGGCGGTACTGCCGCTTGTGTTTGTACTGGAATTTGCAGAAGCGTTTATTTTTTGAGTAAAGTTGAAGTCGTTTGCCGGCTGCACCCTTGTTGTAACATTCACATTAGAACTGGAATTTATTCGGGTGTCGGCATCAGTTTTATGTTCATCATAAAATACAGATTTTGAGGTTTGTAATGATGCGGAGCTACAACCGGCAGTGGTAGCTACTTCATTTACAGTATTATAGCTTTGATTATATACATTTTGTATTTTGTTAACAAAACGGTCGAGTAACGATTCGGGTTCGCCATCTTCGAAATCTCTAGCGAATTCAGTTAGCTTTGTAGGTGAATGCAGGTGTTGATTCATTTTGAAGATAAAATGGACTTCAAATTGTTTTTTTACTTTTAATTCGTATTTAAATATGTCTTAGACAGTGGAAACGTTTAACTGTTCACTCAAGGATGATTCCGGCGCCAATGAACTTAGAGCCAAATCACTCCATTTTTGCTCCTACAACAGTTAAAAAATATTGAAATTTTAATATTTTTTTTAAGAATTAATATAATATTACCTGTTCACTAAGAGTTAAGTGAGAGTCGCCGCCATCCGCTTCTGGATCAGGCAGCTTATCAGCAGGAACAAGTATCTGATCAAAGGGCAAAATCTCCTCACGCCACTTATTATCGACAATATCCAATAATCGACCTTGGGGCAATGGCTAAGGTAAATAATTGCGTTAATTTTTAAAGATAGTACATATAAGAGGCCTTGAGAGCGAGAGTAGCCTAACTGACACTTAAAAAAATTGAGGTACAACGGAAACTGCATTACTAAAATCAAAGCGCTAATAGCCCGGGTTACGCCATTTTAGTTTTCTTTGACCATAATAGGTAGTATCGCGTAGGGAATACGCCCTTTTAGTTTTCTTTTACAATAATAGGTATTAGGTATCACATTGGTGAAATTTTCAGTAAAAATAAACATATTTATTATACTTCCTTCTTCTTTCCCATCTTACTAAAAAAAAATTGTTAATAGGCCACTCTGGCTCTCCTGGCTTCATATGTGGCCTTTTAAAGCTTTTTAAGTACAATATATATGTTTTTAGAAATAGCATTTTTAAAATGCACTGAGGTAATATTATAACACTGTGCTATACAAATTCCCAGGGATTCCCTTTTTAAGAAGGTGGGCGCAGGAAACTCGTACGTATTGTTATGTGGGAGTAAGGGATGTGTGCTGCCTGACCGCCGTTGGCTGTGTGCGCTGCTGTGGAAGGTGCCGCCCTGAGGTGGTAGTGAGCGGCGTCGCAGTTGAGCAGACCTAAACATGCCCTAAAGTGGCACCAGCCTCAGTTGGACTGGGGTTTGCCGTGGAGGCAGCTCTCTTTGAGCAGCAGGGGGCCACAAACGATGTGGTCCAAAGCCGATGAGTCCGTAGGCCTGAGCAGACTCCACCCGTTGCAAGCATTGCATTGAGTTTGCATGCAATCGTCTTTGGCATACGCAGCAGGTGGGGGGCAATGATACAACCCTATTTTTAATGTTTCTCTGGAGTTCCTTTGCATCTAAAATCGCATATTTAATGTTAGATATTCAGCCTTTTCCCGTACTCCAGGATTTGCAGGTTGTACAGGAACAGATATTTTCGCCTTTAATATATGTACCTTATGTGAACGTGGCGTACGGGAACGACTTTGGACAAAATCCTGCAAAACCTGCAAATCATAGACGTTCTGGAACGCTCTAATTGATTGGCGTGAGCAAAGCACAAAGTAATTGATACATGTACATACACATACCTGACTGTCCATCGCTTTTAACTATGATTGGGATTTGTTGTTCCGCTTAACTAAATTAGTTAATAGCACGGATGAATGAAATTAGAAGACTGGTGTCATATTTATAAAAAATTTTTTTTTTTTTTTTGTGATTTGAGTGTGATGGCAGAGCGGTTAGCTCGCAAACGCCAGGTTATTCCACTAGTTGGTAAATACTTGTGTTCACCAGTCCTTGTTAGTTGAGCAGCTTATTCCAGGTGCAGCTTTTGTTGAGCGATGTAAATGTCAATCGGTGCCGTAAATGAAACCCGTGTTGTCAACTCAGATGTGATAAACGCGTTCGTTTAGAATGACGAGATAGTTTTGTAATGGTGTGTTTGTTTTAAAACGAAAGGTCTGTATCAAGAATGATAGAATACCATGATTCAATAATACAAGGTTAGATAATTATTGACAGCTGCGGTTTGACACTCCCTTACAAAAGGTTGCATTTACGGAGGACAGAGAAAGGGCAAGAATGCAATCCCTTGTTTCGAAAATGGTAGTAGAAAAGTTCGCAAAGTAGGCAATTAGCAGTGAAATTCCTTTCGTAAATTCTAATGTATTTGCAGGAAATCTAGCATTGTGCAGGACGGGCCTTTTAGGTATGACACTTCTGCGTAACGCCAAGCGTCAGAAAACGCAACGCCTATCGCTTTTGTTTAGGTATGGCAGTAATATACAAAAACATTTGCCAACACTGCCTTATGATCCCGCTTTAGTTACTGTCAAAAAAATTTTCGTTGTTGTTTCGTTTCTAGCATTTCTTATCATACAGAATTCTTGGGCTCAATCTTATTGGATTTTGAAGTTTACGCCAACTTTTTTTAAAGAATAATTATCATCCCAGTTCCAGGCGGTAAGTGGCATATAACTTTAATAGGCGTAGTTTTTATGCTATCATAAAATACAAATTGCGTAACGTCATATATTTAGCATTGCTTTTCATTATTCATGCATTTGTATATCGATTTTCGAGTCTAGAAATTTTACGTCTGATGTAATGCAAATGATTTAGTAAATGCCGCAAAGTCTAGTTTTTATTATTATTGTGTTTTTGTGATCCCCAGAGCTCAAATATTGGCATCGTATTGCCACAGTTATTTACAATATTACGCACATTGTGAAACATATAAAACAATGTTATCTCGCGTCTCGTCAACGCGTTCTGTGGCGCAAATGGTAAAACAAGTAGCTGGAAGATGCACAGTTCTCAACGTTGGCGTAGGAATAAATGCACGAAATATTGGGAGCAGTCTATGGAGCAATAAAAACAAACATGCCCAACCGACTTCGTTTCTACGGCGCTCTAAAATAATGGCCGTACCCCACATTATCCAGCAACAAGAGCACAAATTTAACGAGGGAAAACAGTATCATGGTTTTGAATGCATACGTGTGGAATCTGTACCGGAATTCGGCATAATGTCATACACCTTTCGACACGTTGGAAGCGGCACCGAGCTGTGGTATTTAGATCGAAAGGATTCAAATAATGTATTTTCTATCAACTTTCGCACAACGCCTTTTGATTCCACTGGATTACCACATATTCTTGAGCATAGTGTCTTATGTGGTTCGCAAAAATATCCAGTCCGCGATCCGTTTTTCAAAATGCTTAACCGATCTGTGGCCACATTTATGAATGCCATGACCGGCCCGGACTATACAATGTACCCATTTTCTACTATGAATGAGACAGACTTTAGGAATTTACAAAAAATTTATTTGGACGCAGTTTTCAGGTGAGATTTTCTGTATCTGGTGCTTAAAATCTTTGATAAAGTGCTTCCTTTAATTTTGTAGACCAAATTTGGAATACTTGGATTTTCTGCAAGAGGGTTGGCGTTTGGAGCACTCAAACATTAATGATAAGTCTTCAGAGTACGTTTTAAAGGGAGTCGTTTATAATGAAATGAAAGGCGCTTTCTCTGAAAATGGCTCAGTGTTCTCCCAAAACCTGCTTAACAATTTGCTACCGGATCACACTTACGGATTTGTATCCGGCGGCAATCCACTCGAAATTCCAAAGCTAACACACAAGAATCTGGTAGATTTTCACTCCAAATACTATCATCCAAGTAATGCTCGTATATATACTTATGGCAATTTCGACTTACGAAGGACACTAGATTATGTTAATAATGAATATATGAGCAAGTATAATGCTATTGATAATTCTTATAGCCGAATACCAAACCAGCCACGCTGGGATAAACCACGTAATGTTCATATCTCTAGCCGTTTTGATAACATGGGAGCACCCTTCGAGAAACAAAATCAAATTGGTATTGCTCTTCTAATGTCAGATGTAACAGATACACAAGAAACATTCGTGCTGCATGTTCTATCGGAATTGCTGGTGCGTGGACCAAATTCATCATTTTACAGGAGCCTTATCGAGCCTAACTTCTCTGGTGGATATAATCAGGCAACGGGCTATGACCCACAAATAAAAGACACTTTTTTTTGTGTGGGATTGCAAGATTTGCGCGTAGAGGACTTCGCACGTGTACAAGAACTTTATGACAAAACCATTAAGCAAGTTATGTCGGAAGGATTTGAGCTTAGTCACGTAGAAAGTGTACTACACAACATCGAGTTATTACTTAAACACCAGAGCCCACAATTTGGTATGGGTTTGCTATTTAACTCTACTCCATTGTGGAATCACGATGGCGATGTGGTGTCCAGTTTGCGGGTGTCTAATATGATTGCTAATTTCCGTCACAACCTTGCAAAGGATCCAAAGTATTTGCAACATAAGGTTGAACAGTATTTTGCAACGAATTCACATCGTCTCACTTTAACTATGTCTCCCGACGACCATTATGAAGACAACTTCAAAACAGCAGAACTAGATTTATTAAAGCAGAAAATAATGGCTCTTGATGATAAAAAACGTGTAGAAGTCTATGAAAATGGTATAAAATTGGACCAAGCTCAAAAAGGCCATCCAAATTTGGAAATCCTCCCTTGTCTAGATTTGTCTGATGTGCAGAAAATGCCGAAAATGCCCTCAATCGAAGTTCTGCGCATTTGCAGCGTGCCAACGCAAGTGTGCCATGTTCATACAAACGACATTTCGTACTTAAAATTACATTTTAATGGTGCCAACTTAAATCACGATGAAGTTATGTTGTTGCCCCTTTTCTGTGATGTCATTAACGATATGGGTACCAACAATTACAATTTCAGAGAATTCGACAAGTTGGTCTTATCCAAGACAGCTGGGATTGATTTTAAATTACATTTCGCTGAGAATATATACGATAGTAAATCATACCTATTAGGTGTTTATATGACTACACATGCGCTGGATAAAAACGCAGCCGAGATGTTCGAACTGAGTACTGAATTACTAACTAAGTTTAAGTTAGAGGACACCGATCGGTTGAGCATGTTAATTGATAATTACATTTCCAATATTTCTGTGGGTATTGCGAGTTCGGGACACTTGTATGCCATGCAGAGCTGCGCGGGCTTGATAACAAATGCGGCTAAATTAAAATCTCATCTTGCCGGCGTAGAGCATATTGAATTCATGAAAACTTATGTGAAACAAAACAAGACTGAAGAGATCAGAGCAAAGTTGAAGACGCTGGGTCAGAAATTATTTGTGAAGAACGTTATGCGCTGCGCCCTAAACACATCGGAAGAGTTCTATCCGTCGCTTACAAAATACTACGAGCAATTCCTTGAAAATATGCCAAACGATCCACAATCGAAGAAGAACGCTGAACATAGCATCAGTTTACTTGAACCAAGTCAACAGCATTTTGTAATGAATATTCCAGTTAACTATTGCGCCAAGGCATTCTTTGCCGTACCATATACACATCGTGATCACCCAACACTTCGTGTACTTGCCAAACTGATTTCCGCCAAATATCTTTTACCAGTAGTACGCGAACAGAATGGTGCTTATGGCGCGGGAGCTAGGATTGGTTCAGACGGCATATTTAGTTTTTTCAGTTACCGTGACCCAAATTCAACTAAAACACTTGAGGCATTCAATAATACATACAATTGGCTCCAAGAACACAACACGGAATTAACTGAACAAGCTTTGTTTGAAGCTAAATTGGGTGTTTTGCAGCAGTTGGATGCACCTATAGCCCCTGGAAATGTTGGTATTGACTTCTTCTTGTACGGTGTTTCACAAGAAATGTTCGCTAATTACCGTGCACGAATGCTTTCCACATCGGTGGACGAACTAAAGCAAGTTGTTGAACGATACTTTAAAAATGAACCTGCGCATTTTGGTAGTTGTCTGCTTGGTCCCGAAAACAAGGACTTGGAAGCGACAACAAACTTGAAATGGAAAGTCATTTCCTAAATAGCATACATTTCAGACCAAAAAAATGGCATATAAAACGCATGAATGGCAAAATAGGTGCATTTTTGTACGAGTACATTCGTATGTGGGTATATGTATGTATGTGCATACATAAATTGCGAACTATATTTGTAGGAGTACTTGTCTATCATTTAAATAATTTTTGTTTCTGTAACCTCCGTCACTCTGATGTATCTACGTGTTTTAATGATTTAACTAACTAATTTTTTAATTAGATGCTTTGAATTAAGATTTTTTTATCGGTTATATTTATTGATAAATAACTTTTGCCCTTTCATACACGATATGCTCAATCAAAAAGACCTTAGCGTTCCTACGGTAATTTTTTAATATTATTAGAACACTATTTGAGATTACATAGAAAAAAGAGGTTCTGAAAAAAATAATTGAAATCCCACAAAATGTTGATATTTAAGATATTTTATGGCTTGTTAACGAATAGAAATTGATCTTATTAAATTATTTACTTGAACTTAAATAGCAACTAAAATACAATGAACTTTGGAAACCATTAAATTTTGAGAATGTTTAATTTTCTGAATTACGGTAATTAGTATGTGGATGGTGTATATTTTAATCAGAGACTCAAGTAGGCAAGAAAATAAGTAGGGTCGGGAGATATACAAAAAAAGGCTTATAGCAAAAAGAAAGGCAACATTCCTTTAAGAAATCGCTAGTTTAGAGTTGTTTGGTATTTTTTTTTTAATGAAAACATACTTTTCTATGTAGAAAACAAGGAGAAATATGAATGCATTGATTCAAAAAGATCAAGTCTCGAACGCCTTGGACAGGTCCCACGCTACTAGAATAGTTCTTGTTGTTGTTGTTGTAACAGCATACAAATTCCCCAAAGAGATTTTGGGGAGTGTTGCTGGAGTGGTGGCAGTCCTTGGCCAGATATATATCTATCTGGGTCGTTCCGGTTACGTAGACCCGACTGTCGTGGGAACGTAGAATAGTTCTTTCACAGGTTCGGTATCGGTTAAGGCCACGACTTATCTGGGTGTTTATGGCGTTGTGCTGTGCATTTTACGGAATCCATGCT